TTTATGTTTTGAGGGAGACAAACTGGGGGGGCCGGCTGTACTTTTCCATCCCCAGAGTCCTTCCAAAGAGAGAGAGGTGACCTCAGCTTCGGGTCCTGCTGGCAGCCAGGGACGGGCTTTCAGCAGTCTCCAGAGCAAATAAAGGCAAAGGAAGGGACTCTATGTACGGAACAGGAGGCAGCAGCGGCAGGGTGGGGGTGAGGGGCGTCTGCCTCTGATGGCCGCCAAGCCAAGGGAAACACACCTTCTGTTCTTCCCCTGGCCCAGGACGTTTTCCCTCCCAGCACCTTGGTCCCATTCACGGCCCAGCTGGGCCCCATTCAGGTGACTACCTGGGAGGGGGTGGTGCCAAGGAAATAATGTGCTGAGGCAGGGGCATGCCTCACCCTGGCCCTGCCACCCACACACTGCTATTGGCTATAGGATTTTTTCCCTCTATCTAGACCTCAGTCTTCTCGTCTGTACTCTGGGCAGAAAGATGTGCCTTGAGTTCCCACTGGGATACTGGATTATGAAAACACTCTGGAAAGGATAAATGTGCGCATCATCATAGATTAAAGAGATACAAAGGAGGGGATTTTCCTTTAAAGCTGGTCATTTAGATGAAGGGTGATTCTGTTTTCACAGGGTGTGCGGCACCTAGGTTTGATTGGCAGAGGATCACAGCTGTGAATGCTGAGGTTCGACCTTGTGTTCTGACCTTGCTGGGACGACTGTTGTACCCTATTAGCTTAGCAGGGTGGACCCGGGCCACTTTGGCCAGTGGCGTCTTCGAGACCCTCAGAGAGGTATCTCAAGGGTGTCCAAGGAGCATGAATTGTGAATCAAGAATCGTCCAGATACTTCCCTTCCCTCCCATGCCTTCACCTGGGGAAATAGTTCTGGAACTGCTGATGCAGCACTGGGCACTGGACAGGAACCAGAATTTGGAAAGTAACTTTTCCAAGTATATTTGTTTTTACAGTTTTCTTCCAGAATCTCAGAGGAGGATTCCAAGATTCCATGCCATGTCCTTAACAGGCTCTCTGCATTTCTCTCAGCCTCTACCCCAGTCTCTGAGCATAGTAACTGCTAGCCTCACCCAACTTCACGAGAAGGGAAGCTTGCCAATCTGTCTTGGGCCTGACTGTCGTATGACTCTGGGCAAGCAAGTGCTTCCCTCCCTCAACCTCAAAATCCTCATCAGGAAAGTGGGACTGAGCCCCTTTCCATGCCTTCTGCCCACCTCCCGGTGTTGTCAGAAACTATGAAGCCCTGCATGACTTAGAGTTATTTTTCTCTCCTGGCTGCAACAGCGGGAAAGGGGTGGCAGAGGGGTGAGTGTCCAACTGGGAGAAGAGTGCAGGGGTATGGTAAGGCAGGACTGATGGAAGAGCCGACCAGCAGAACCTTTCCCCAGTCACAGGGGGCCATAGTCCTTTGCTAAAACAACAGAAATGTCTATTCTCCTGGTTTTCAAACCTGAGGCTTATTTAAAATTAAAAATTAAACAAACAAACAAAACCCCCAAGCCTTCTTACCTTTCCAGTTCTTGCTGGGCTGTTTCTCTATGACATGACTTTTGTGTCAATATAGCCTAGGCAGTGTGACTTTTTTTGTTCTAGCTTCTAGTCTCACTTTGATCCTCCAAATTCAAACAACCTCAGACAAGTCCTGTATTGATGTTTTGCTCCTGCTCCTTTTGTCCCAAGTCACCTTCTGGAGTTGTTTCTCTTGTGTCTTCCACATAGGGAAGCAACAGGGAGATTTTTCCACTTAAGCCTTGGGGAACAAGTGAACAACTGTGTAAGGGGAAGGAACAATCCAGAAACTGCCTGGAAAGGAAAGACTCGACTCCACTGGGAGTTGGCGTCTTTGTGAAACAGTGCCAGGCCCCCAGGTTAATTCCTTTAAGTTCCGGTTCATTTTATTTCATGCACATGCCATAAAATAGGGGGTGAGGCTTTTATTTATTTATTTATTTATTTTAGTTGAAGTCTCACTCCATCACCCAGGTTGGAGTGCAATGGCAAGCTCATGGTCACCCCAGCTTCGACCTGCTGGGCTCCGGCGATCCTTCTGCCTCAGCCTTTCAAGTAGCCGAAACTACAGGCTCGTGCTACCACGCCCAGCTAATTTGTTTTTGGTTTATGGTAGAGATGAGGTCTTGCCAAGTTGCCCAGGCTGGTCTCAAACCCACAGGCTCAGGCAATCCACTCACCTCGGCCTCCCAAAGTGCTGGGATTACAGGCTGAGCCACCAAGCCTAGCCTTGTATCTTGTTTTAGCCTATGAAAAGACCATTATGACATTGGCTCTTCCTCTGCCTGTTCCTGCTATCCAAATATTATAATCCAAGTGAAGATAGGTGATTCCCAAGAAGAGGTATGCCAAGACCAGTATGTGCCTGGGATATTTTAAGAGCATTTTCGAGGTTGAGCACAGTGGCTCATGCCTGTAATCCCAGCACTTTGGGAGGCTGAGGCAGAAGGATTGCTTGGTGCCAAGGTTTAAGACCAGCCTGGCCAACACAGTGAGAACCAATCTCTACAAATAAAAAAATAAATTAAAAACTTAGCTGGGCGTGGTGACAAGCATTTCTGTTCCCAGCTACTGAGGAGGCTGAGGTGAGTGAGAGGATCGCTTGAGCCCAGGAGATCGAAGCTGCGGTGAGCTGTGATCACACCATTGCACTCCAACCTGAGTGACAGAGGGAAAGCTTGTCTCAGAAAAAAAATAATAAATATAGGGTGCAATGGCTCATGACTGTAATTCCAGCACTTTGGGAGGCAGAGGCAAGAGGATTGCCTGAGTCCAGGGTTTTGAGACCAGTTGGGCAATGGGGACAACTTGGTGAGACCTCATCTCTACAATTAAAAAAGAAATTAGCCAGACGTGGTGGTGCGTGCCTGTGGTTCCAGCTTCTTGGAAGACTGAGGCAGAAGGATCACCTGAGCCCAGCAGATTGAGGCTGCAGGGGCCATGAGCATGTCACTGTACTTCAGCCTGAGTGACAGAGTAAGACTCTGACTCAAAAAAAAAGAGCATTTTAAGGTCGTAGCCTATCACTTCAAAGTTCACCCTAGTTTCGCCCTTTCAGTTGACTGATGGGACAACCAAGGTCTAGAGAGGCCAAGAACTGAACTGATACATCCAGATACTATTGTGGTAGAGGAAGAACCCCTGACCCTTTGTTTCAAGCTGAGTGTTTTTCTCCATGATGCTAGGTTACCTCCCACCATTGTGCTTGGTCAGTTGAGAAGTCTTGGAAGGAACTAGGGATGAGGAGCCTGAAAGGGAAAGTTTGGAGAAAAAAAGAGGGAAGACAGGGCCACTGTTGCCCCTGACCGGAAGGTTTGTTCCGTGTGCAACAGGAGGGACTGAGTGGACAGACCAGAAGGTTTGCAGGTGGCAGATACAGATTAGTACAAGGAAAAACTTTCTAAAGCCATTACGAAATGGAAATTCAGTTTGTTGGCCCAAGAAAGGAAACATCCCTAGTCATGTTGGTATGGAATCATCAGAGGAGATTCTGCTCCCAGAATCCTCACAGTCGTGAGAGTATTGGCGTTTAGAGAGCAAAGTCCTAGCAGTGACCAGGGCAGGGGAATTTTCTAGATCTCAGCTCCCCCCTGCAATCTATGGAAGTGGTTAGATTGTTTCTCTAGAAGACTTAGAGGCGTGCTGCCCCTTCTGGGTAGAATGGAGGAAAATGTGCCTCCCCCCCAACTTTCCATGGGCCACGCTATTGTTCTTTGTTTGAAAATGTGGATCTCATTGTCTCAATCTGGCAAGAGGTTGCTGCTGATTAACTTCTCTCATTCCTTCCTACTCCCTCTGCAGTGAGGAGGAGGAGGAAGAGGAGGGGGCGGGGAGAAAGGAGGAGAGCTTTGGGTGTAGGGGAAAAAAAATAATAATCTTAGAACATCAGGGATTGACGGACCCTTGAAGACGTTCTAGTTTGGCATTTCCCAGTCTTGACTAACCAGCCCTCAACCTCAGTCAAATCACTTAAAACTTTTTTTCAATAAGTGTTGAGAAAGGAGACTTTATGTTATTACCATAAATGGAAAACTCTGTGTACCTTTGTCATAAATGGAAGGAAACTAAAAATAAACACACACACACACAAGCACACACACATACACCACAGTTTTATTCAATTCCAGCTGGATAGAGTTTCCTGTGGTAGCTTTGAGCAGGAGGGCTACTTTCAGGGTTAAAGGGGGAGATAGATGAGTGTTCGTGTTAAAGACATCTTAGCACCAAACTGAGACTTTCTCCTCACATCATTGGGGTTAAAAGAATATTCAGGCTGGGGCCGCAGTGGCTCAGTCTGTAATCCCAGCACTTTGGGAGGCCAAGGTGAGAGGATTGCCTGAGTCCGGGGGTTCTAGACCAGCCTGGGCAACTTGGTGAGACCTTGTCTCTACAATAAATCACAAAAACTAACCATGTGTGGTGGCATGCGTCTATAGTTGCATCTACTTGGAAGGCTGAGATGGAAGGGTCGCATGAGCCCAGCAGCCGTGAGTGTGCCACTGCATTCGAGCCTGGGCGACAAAGAGTGAGACTCTAGCCAAGCCTGGTGGCTCAAGCCTGTAAGCCCAGCACTTTGGGAGGCCGAGGTGAGAGGATTCCCTGAGCCCAGTGAGCCCACTGCATTCAAGCCTGGGCAACTTGGTGAGACCTCGTCTCTACAATATATCAAAAAAATCAGCTGGGCATGTTAGCGCACGCCTGTAGTTCTGGTTACTTGGAAGGCTGAGGCGGAAGCACTGCCGGAGCCCAGCAGGTCGACATTGGGGTGGCCGTGAATGAGCCATTGTACTCCAACCTGGGAGAAGGAGTGAGACTCCTACAAAAAAGAAAAATAATATTCAATGAAACGAGCCTCCTCTCATGTCTTTCGCTATCATTGAACGTTACCATCTAGGTTGTCTTGCATATCTCAGGAATTCAGAAGGCGGTCCCCATGAGGAAGCTTCCCCTTCCCTGAAATCTTATCTCTTTTCCCCACAGGGTTCCCAGCACCATGAGGGCCTGGATCTTCTTCCTCCTTTGCCTGGCCGGGAGGGCTCTGGCAGCCCCTGTAAGTATCTAACCATCATATCTTCTTGCTCAGACTCCTACCCCCAGCTCCAGGAGTTTGAATCTGCCAGCCCTGGAGGCTCAGAGGCGACAGGGACTTCCCAACTCAAGTCCATTGTCTTATCTTTTTTTTGAAGTTGTTTTTCTTAAACTAACTAAGCTCAGGAGAAAAACTGGGATGTGGAGGTTCCAGAGAAAAGAGAGGGTTCCATGTCAGACCCTGGCAACCCTGATTATCTGGTAGATTTGGGCAAGAGATTTGGCAAGGTTGGCATTGATTTTAGAAGCAACCCTAGGCAGGAACTTCAAAGTTATGTTATCTTGCCTTTTCCTACTCCAAACTGAAATGACAAGAAAGAGTTGCCTAATAATAATAATAATAATAATAATAATATATTATCACACTGGGGAAAGATAATGGCATCTGTTAAAATTCATGCCATCCCCTCTGGGTGTCAGTTTTCTCATCTGTAAAATGGGAGAGTCAATGATTTTCAGGGTCAGTCTGGGTCAATGATTTTCAGACTTTATAGGAAATCAAAGCAGCAGGAATTCTTTTCCCAGCTAAATCTCAGACAGACACTTTAGATCTAAAATATATAAACAGGGAGTTGGGCCAGTTGCATGACTCATACTTGTAACCCCAGCATTTTAGAAGGCCAAGGTGGGAGGATTGCTTGAAGCCAGGAGTTTGAGACTAGCCTGGGCAACATAGTGAGACTCCATCTCTACATTTAAAAAAAAGGCAGGGAGAGGCTTCAGTGCTCGATAGGGCTCACACATCCGGTTTCTCCTCTGTCCTGCCCCCCACCCAGGCTATCCCTGAGGCCTGGCCTTGGGGATCTCCAGTGAGCTATTTTCCAAGCTCCTCCAGCCTGTGTTCCAGGACAGAGGCACTTTAGGGGAAGCTGACCTTGGTCCTGACCCCTCTGAACCCTGCTTTCTCTTCCCAGCAGCAGCAGGAAGCCCTGCCCGATGAAACAGAGGTGGTGGAGGAAACCGTGGCTGAGGTGGCCGAGGTATGTGGGCGGTGACCCCAGCCCTAGCCCTGTCTACCCACATCTATTCCCTGGGGAATACAGACAGGTGCTGTGGGTCTTGATTCTGGAGGGGAGCACTGGTCCCCATGTCCACACACAGCATGGATGCAAGTCCCATGTGTCCCCAAGCCCTGACACACCCCCGAATGCCTCCCAAACTTACAGTGGAACCCTATATTTAGGGGCCAGGATTTTGACATTTTTGGGTTTTTTAAGCGATGGGACAATTTTTCTTCCATGACCACCCATAGTCTCCCCATGCACAGACAGATGAAAGGTGTGGCTGACTAAAGGGGTGTCTTGTCACCCTCTCTTGCCCTAACACTCCTGCAGGCCTCTGAGTTTTCTCAGGAGGATTCTGAAGCACCACGATGTACTGTGGGTCTACGGACTAAATCTGGGTTCTCTACCTTACGTCTGTGCTCTGTGACCTGGACCCAGCCCGCTAGCTTGTCTTTCACAGTCCTCTTGTGGGTACTGACACTCCAGGCACATCCCCTCTCATCTTCACCCCTGCCCTCTAGGTCTGGGATGGGAGTAGGGACCACCTGACTCTTCCCCCATCTAGGTACCTGTGGGAGCCAACCCTGTCCAGGTGGAAGTAGGAGAATTTGATGAAGGTGGCGAGGATGCCGAAGAGGAAGTGGTGGCTGAAAGTAGGTCTCTCTCCTGTGACTTGCGCATCTGGCCTGCCTTGGGCTTCCCGGGCCTGTGGTGTGGGGACAGCCGCCATGAGCCTCCTTCCCAGGGAAATGCAGGGTGGGTCCTCAGTGAGCTATGGGGGAAACACGGCTTTGACTTAAACACCAGAAGACTCTGGCACTCCGTCCCCTGGGATCTAGGCAAGACCAGCTTGTGGCCAGGCCCTCCTCACTGTGACTAGCCGAAGGGAAGTGTCTCAGCTGGAAGTGACCTTCTTTCAAGGATCTTTGCCCTAAGTCCAAAGTTGGGTTTCCCTGGCCCACTGAGGTCTCTGGTCACATGGGATATCTGAGAGTAGAGATAGGGGCTCGCATGCCCATGAGCTCATCTGACTTTCCCCCAGCCCAAGGACATGCAGCCACGAGGAAATGGACCTGACATAATCACAAAGTGTACCCATAGGCCAGTACCCCTGGAGGAGAATGACCCAGAGCCCTCGGCTCGAGCCCCCCGTGCTGAGGCATTTGTGCCCACGGGGTGAAGAGCAAAGGTCTTGGAAGCAGACCAGGCAAGGGATCTGGGGTTCATTATCGCCTGCTATCACGTGCGATAATGAAGGTGGTGGTCATCCTGGGCTGTCAAGAGGCTCATGAGACAAGTGCGAGGGCACCTGGCCCCTCAGGGTCTGGCCAGGTAGGCATTCATTCGGGGATGATCAAAATACCCCAACTAAAGCTCCACAAGTTAAGGCTATGGTAAGCTCTCATTCTGAGGGGCTAACTAATGGTGTAAGCACAGCGGGTTTTTAAGATATTGTTTTTGTTTTGGGGTCAGGGTACATATTATGCTTGTTTGTTACATGGGTATATTGCGTCACAGTGGGGACTGGGCTCCTGGTACATGTCACCAACTACTGAGCACTGTACCCAGTAGATAATTTTTCAACCCTCTTTTCTGCCCTCCCCATCTCTGGAGGCTCCAGTGTCTGCTATCTCCATGTTTAGTCCATGGGCACAGGGTTTTTGTTGTAGCCGAGGGATGTCCACTGAGTCATGTTCCTTCCGCCACCATGCCCACCTCCTCCGGTGTTTACCAGACACTGCCGGGCTCTATTGTTCAGCGTGGGTCTCGGGTTCTTCTCCTTTTCCGTTACAGCTGCTTAAGTCTGCTTTGTCGGGCCTCACAGCTTCCTGCCTCCATGTCCCAGTCATTCTAGAAAGTCGATTCTAGAATCCAGAAATGCCTCACTGTGTTCAACTGAGAGCTGTGAACACAAAGGCTGCTTCAATCCTCAGGGAAGCTGTAGGGCATCCGGTGTTTCTGGGTCCCCAACTGAGCCTCCAACCTCCCCAAAAAGTACCTGATCTTGACCTTGGACTGAACTTCTAATCCCCAAACTGAGTCAACTGCTCCCCTAAATACTGATTGCTAGGCTCCGAGCAAGAACAGGGAGGAATCAGGGCTCCCCAAAGCCCAGAGTGGGGGCCACAGCCAAGGACTATCAGCCCCAAGATGTCTCTGGTTAGGAGGGGGTGAACGTACCAGCCTGGGGGTGCTAACTCCATGCCCTTGTGTCCCACAGACCCCTGCCAGAACCACCACTGCAAACACGGCAAAGTCTGCGAGCTGGATGAGAACAACACCCCCATGTGTGTGTGCCAGGACCCTACCAGCTGCCCAGCCCCCATTGGCGAATTTGAGAAGGTAAGGGCTAGGACTGGGGCACGGGTGTGGGATGGGCTCTTCAGAACACAGGGTGTCTGCCCAGGAAGCTGTTGGCTTGGTGGCTCTACAGGGCAGCTCCAATCTCAGACATCCCCTAGCTAGGTGTGGGCACAGCAGGAAAGTGAAGAGGACTCAGAGATGACATTGCCTGGCACCAGATCTTTCCAGCAGCCAGAAAAAATGTACCCTGCACATTAGGTTCCAAGCCCTTAGCCAGGCTCAGAAGAGAATGTAGCTGAGACAGGAGCGTGAGCTGGGCCTGAGATACGGGCTTTCTCTAATTGGGAGCAGCTTAAAAAGCACTGGGTGCAGGCTGGGCTCAGTGGCTCAGCCTATAATCCCAGCACTTTGGGAGGCTAAGGCGAGTGGATTGCCTGAGCCCACAAGTTCGAGACCCGCCTGGGCAACTTGGCGAGACCTCGTCTCTACAATAAATAAAAAACTAGCTAGGCGTGGTAGCGCACGCCTGTAGTTCCAGCTATTTGGAAGGCTGAGGCAGAGGGATCGCCAGAGCCCAGCAGGTCGAGGCTGCGGTGGCCGGGAGTGTGCCACTGCCCTCCAGCCTGGGCGACAGAGTGAGACTCCAACTCAAAAATAAAAAACAGCACCAGGTGCAAAAATGTGGGTTCTCGGGTCAGGCTGAAGGTCAACTTCAAATCTCCTCTCCATCACTTGTGAGAGCTTAGCTAAGTTGCTGACCCTTTCCAAGTCTCAGTTTTCTCACCTCTAAAGAGGAAATAAAAAAATAGTCCTTGGAAGGCTGAGGCAGAAGGATCGCCGGAACCCAGCAGGTCGAGGCTGCGGTGGCCGGGAGCGGTCACTGCACTCCAGTCCGGGCGATAGAGTGAGACTCCAACTCAAAAAAAAAAAAAAATAGTCCTTAACTCATAGGACTGTTGTGGTGATATGCCAGCTAATGCCTGGTACACAGTAAATACCCAATAAATGCTACTTATTCTTAGAATTATCTCTCAAATATGTCCATTCTGTCTCCAGTAGGACTCATCCAACCATCTATCCATCCAGCCAGTCTGCCACCCACCTATCTACCCACCCTTCCTTCCTTCATTCCTTCCTTCTTTCTTTCCTTTCTTCCTTCCTTCCTTCCATTCAGCCAGCCAAGTAAATGCTTTTTGAGTACCCACTCACGCCACCCACCATGCTAATGGCCATCTGGTTTATGATGGCAAATCTGGGACCATTTATTCCAACAACATTAATAGCATTATTCTATAACCTCCCATCTGATTTCTCCACCCTCCGTCTCTCTCCTAGACAGCATAGCCTCTGGTGTCCAAATTTTAACATAATTAACCCCTTCCTCCTCCTCTCCCCAGCCCCGCTGCCACTTCCCACCACTCACCAATATCCATCACTTCTCCCTCTGCAGTGACATACACGCCATACCAAGCCCCTGCAGGGTGTCCAAGGCAAGCCTCTCTTCCAACACACTGCTTACTGCCTCTGTCCTTGTCCAGCCCTCAGCGTCCCGGCTTGGCCTCCTCATGTTCAGAGATTCACTAGGCGGACTCAAATGACTCTGCTTACAGTTGTAGTCATAGCTGAGGTTTGTAGAGATCAGGATACATAGCTGGATTGTGAGGGAAAAAGAGACACAGGCAGAGTCTGGAAGGATCCTTGCGGAGACTTCCTTATGCCCTCCCCCCAAGGAGGGGTCACAGAGCATACTCTTACCCCAGTCACAGGATGCAGCCACGTGCTAGTGATGTTTCTGCCCAGGGAAGCTCATTAGAGACTCAGCACCCAAAGTTTTAATTGGGGGCTGGTCATACAGGCACCCTCTACCTAGCATGTACCAGAATTCCAGACTCCCAGAGGAAACCAGGTGCTCAGCATAACCAGATGTTTTGTAAAGCAGTCCAGGCCGGGTGCAGTGGCTCACACCTATAATCCCAGCACTTTGGGAGATTGAGATGAGAGGATTGACTGAGCCCACGGGTTTGAGACCAGCCTGGGCAACTTGGTGAGACCTTGTCTCTACAATAAATCAAAAAATGAGCCAGGCGTGGTGGCACGTGTCTGTAGTTCCAGCTACTTGGAAGGCTGAGGCGGAAGGATCTCCAGAGACCAGCAGGTTGAGGCTGCGGTGGCCGTGAGTGTGCCACGGCACTCCAGCCTGGGTAACAGAGTGAGACTCCAACTAAAAAAAAAAGCAGTCCAGCGAGCCCCATGATCAGCGAGGGAAAGATCTACAACCCTTCAGGGAACTGTTGATCAGCCAAGTTCTCAGACACAGGCCAAGGCCAGCTGCACAAGCAGGCCTTTCTGAGGACAGCAAACCCAGGTCACTATGGGAACTCTTCTGTGCACTCTCTGGTCTTTCCCTCCTCCCCATCTTGAACTCATCCTTCAAATCTCTTCCAGGTTTGTTTTTCTGTAGCTCAGCCCTGACTCAGTCACATTTCTGCTCAGAGACCCTCCATGGCTCTCAGCACGGGCCGAGCATTGTCCTGGGTGCCCAAAGATGGGCTCCTTGTTCCAACTCCACCATAAACGCTGCATGGCCTGGGGCTGACCATATTCCTTGCTTGGCCCTCAGTGTCCCCATCTCTGAAATGGGCAAGGATAGTGGGACCCGTGAAGGGCTTTGGGATTGAAGAAGGCGCTCTGGGCTTGGCCAACAGGTGTGCAGTAATGACAACAAGACCTTCGACTCCTCCTGCCACTTCTTTGCCACAAAGTGCACCCTGGAGGGCACCAAGAAGGGCCACAAGCTCCACCTGGACTACATTGGGCCTTGCAAATGTGAGTCTCTCCTGAGCCCTCCCAGACTCCCACCTCAGGGAGATAGCTCTGAACAGGTTCCAGTGTTGGCTCTGCCACCGCCCCCCGCCCTTGCTGGGTGATCTTGGGCAAATCTCTCCCCGCTTCTGAGCCTCAGGATTCCCATTTGTAAAACGAGGTGATTGTCTATGAGTAGGGTCCCCTCAATGCTGAGCTTGGGATGCCTCCTGGGGAAGACCTGGGCAGTCGTGGAGTTCCAGGTCAGGGAGGATGTCTGCAGGCCCTCACTAACACCCAAGACAACTTCATCTCATTTCTCTAACGAGGAAGAAGTTCTTCTGTAAGGCTGACCCGAATCTTTCCTGTTTCAATGCTATAAAGCAAAAATGATGCTTTACCTGGGCCTACCAAGTGTTGACAAAGTACTGGAATGCAAATGCTTTGAACAGGGGCACGCCTGTTGGTTCCTTTGGGACCCTGCTACTCATTACTGTGATATCCTCAACGCTTTTACTCCCTTATGTGCCTATCTGCCCTCTGAAGGCAGACGATAACCACCCTCTTCCAGAACCTGGGAGTCCGGTGTTTGGGAAGGGATGCCAGGGTGTTGCCTGGCCTTTGGTTAGTGACCCCAGCCCGTGATCCAGACCCAGCTGGCCTGGGCACCTTGTTCAGCGCCCCAAGACCATGCCTGCTCCCTCTGAGGCAGCATCCACATTGTGAGTCTGGTGCATTCTGGCCCCGGATGGCACGAAGGAGAGCCACTCATCTGCCTCAGGGGTGCGAGGTGCAGAAGCGGCGCGGGAAACACGGTTCTCTTGTGGTCCACTCACTCTCCCAATTGTGGGGCCCCGGGTGTGAAGTGGGAAGGCAGAGAAGGAGGACTAGGGGGAGACAGTGGGACTAAGGGGTGTCCCGAGGAGTTGGTCCAAGCGGCTCCTGCCTTCCCTGCGGCCTGTTGGTCACTCGCTCACCCCCAGTGGTTCTACCACAGACACTCTCTTCTGCTGCTCAGCTGATGGCAGAGGAAGCCCCCACAGAAGGGACTTTCTACGACCCAAAGATGAGGGAAGACAGACCCCTGAGTCCCAGGCGACCACGCTGCCCTGGGTGCGGGACAGGACTCTGATAACAAGGCCTCGAGCAAGTCCCTTCTCCCCACGCTGACCTCTAAGAGGCTGGATAAGAAGGGTGGATGTGGGTGAAATCTTCAGGTCAGATATTCTGGGATTCCAAGTTCTAAAGACCAAGGCGGGATCGTGATCTCTAGGAAAGTTCTGACGGTCAAGTACTCCTGATTCCTCTGCCCCCTCCCCACCCCCGCCACCCTGCACCAGGGGATAGACGTGATTCCTCAGCTTCCCAACTCCAAATACCAACCGTGGTTGATGCCAGCAGCATGGACCCAGCCTTGCTAGGGTCACACTCAGGGCCCAGCACCCAGGAAGGTACAGGAACTGCAGGGTGAACCATCTCCTCAGGGGATCATAGCCCTCCTGTGCACTCTCCATTTTCAGAGATTTCCCCACACACGGTCTTTTTTGTTCAATGTCTCGTAAAGACACCAGCCCAGAGAGGTGAGGCCACTGTGCCAAGGTCGCCAGTGGAGGTGTGGGGGACGGAGGGCCTGGGTGGGGAGCACAGTCCAAGGCAGCACGTCGGCCCCCAGCAGGGAAGGTCAGGGTCCGTGCCAACCACTTCTGTGTTTGGAACCTAGACATCCCCCCCTGCCTGGACTCCGAGCTGACCGAATTCCCCCTGCGCATGCGGGACTGGCTCAAGAACGTCCTGGTCACCCTGTACGAGAGGGACGAGGACAACAACCTTCTAACTGAGAAGCAGAAGCTACGTGTAAGTGGCCTCTTCCAGCCTGTCCCAGGGGGTCTGCCTGGCTCGGCTGGCTCTGTACTGGTGGAGAGCCTGTCCCATGCCTAGAACTGGGTCCTTTACCTCGTGTTGATGTCCTGCCCTGGAGCACGTGTTTATCCCTGGGCACAGGGGCACATGCTTCTCCTCCTGGTCTGGAGGCTTGTAGCAAGGCTTCCCATCAGAACAAAGGCTCTGAGAAGTCCTGTAAGAGAGACCTGCCCCCTTTGTTCAGCCTTGTGTCAAACAAGAAACAGCCCTGTTCCTCATTCCTCCTGTGGCTGTGGAAGCTTTAATGGTGCCTCAAGCACCCCAAGATACTGATAAAATTCGGATTCCTTGGCCCTGCCTCAGGCCTGCTCAAACAGTCTCTGTGAAGCAAGGTCAAGGAAGCGGCATTCTGACACACTCCCAAGGTGACTCTGATGTGGGTAGCCCATGGAGAACCCATGGAGATTGTCCGGGGCTTCCATTTCTGTGAACGGGATGCTGCCTCCGCCTCTCGCTGGGAGCTTTGGTCTCATTTGGTCCCTGCCTGCCCTGGTCTCCCTGGCCAGCCCGATGGTCTCCCTTGGGTCCCCCGTCATGCACCGTCTCTGCCCCTGCAGGTGAAGAAGATCCATGAGAATGAGAAGCGCCTGGAGGCAGGAGACCATCCCGTGGAGCTGCTGGCCCGCGACTTCGAGAAGAACTACAACATGTACATCTTCCCCGTGCACTGGCAGTTTGGCCAGCTGGACCAGCACCCCAGTGATGGGTGAGACCCGGGCCCTGGACCCCAGGGCTCTGTCCTGGCCTGCCCCCAGAGCAGGCAGGGTCAGGGGTGAGGCTGGCTGGCACTCCCCACTGGGCTCCCACCACTGGCCCAGGCATTGGGTGGAAGGAGCCAGCGTTTAGAGAAAGGAAGCGAAGGGCACCAGGACACTCTGGTGACAAACGCAAAAGTCGGTGGGAACTGGAAACACCTCCGGGCCCCTGCCTGTTCTAGGGTGTGGGCACCCGATGGAGGGAGCGTGAGCTAGAGGGAGTACCAGGTCCCAAGGGACAGGGGCTGAGGTGGGTGCAGCTGTGGGCTCACCATCCTTTGTGGAATGTCCAGGAGCAGAGCAGCTGTCTGTCCTAAGGCCCAGCCTAAGCAGGGCTCAACTGACCCTGGACGTTTCCTAGGAAATTCAGAGTCAAACTTGTTTACACTTCAAGCCCCCGGTTTGAGGGCTCTTGCCCTGTGTCCAGATGAGCCATGCAGTGCCACGCCACTGCCCTGCAGGGTGGACACTTAAGTGCTCATTACGTACCTAGCACTATCCTGGGCAGGGTTCGGAGCAGTGGTCAGAGTTGACACAACTCACACTTCACGTCGTCACCACCTTCTGACCTTCTCTTCCTGTCACCACCTTCTGACCTTCTCTTGTGGTGATGCGGTGAGAACCCTGCTCAGTCCCTCCTGGAGCAAGCCATACCTGAACCTTCCTGGAACCTTTCTTGTTTTTTTAAAGGCTAGTCAAGTGAAGCAGTGGGAGTCTGGGGTCCTTTTTGCATTTTTATTAGCGAAGCAGAGCATCACCCAGAGAGGAGAGGAGGGGCCGCCCTGCTCCAAACTCAGAGATGCTTCTCTCTGGGGCGCTCAGTTCTCTCTCTGTCCAGCTTCTGTACCAGGGGCCCACCTGCCCTGCTGGTGATCCACATGACTGGGATCTCCTGGACTCTGGGAGGCTCCCAGCTGCCTCTCTCCCAGGCTTTTGCCACGGCTGGGATCCAACGGGGTCACTCGCTGTGGCCAGGAGGGGAAAGGTCAAGGGGGAACATCCGGAGGCTGTCCATGCAGTTGGATCCCACTACCAGAGGGGCTGCAAAGTCTGCACATCTGGGAGTGTGCTCTAGCTGGGCAAGGGGTTCACTTCCTCCTCCCCTCATCTCCAAGTTGTGGGCAACCATGCCTGCCTCCCACCCTTCTCCGGGTCTCAGTTTTCCCACCAGTATGTTGAAGCGAGTGAGTCATGCTGTTGGGAAAACTGAGTTCTGAACCGACCAGTTCAAACACTTGTGTGCTTCCTTCCACGAGTGTGGGTGGGGCTGGAGATCCAGAGGTTAAGACCGCAGTTGGAGTCACACCGTTCCCTGGAGATCCTTGAGGGAAGAGTGTTTTGGGCACAAGTAATCGGGGGCTCTGGGGAGCAAATTTAAAAGCCATACATATGGAGTCCTGGAGTCCAAGGCCAACAGGGAGAGGAGGGATGGAAGACGGCGGGAGTGAAATCAGAAAGGCAGCCGGGCATGGTGTCTCATGCCTATAACCCCAGCAGTTTGGGAGGCCGAGGTGGGAGGACTGCTTGAGTCCAGGAGTTCAAGACCAGCCTGGGTAACACAGTGAGCCTCATCTCTACAAAAAAAAAAATTAGCTGGGTGTGTGGCACTCCCCTGTAGTCCCAGCGACTTTGGAGGCTGAGGTGGGAGGATCGTCTGAGCCCAGGTCAAGGCTGTGGTGAGCCATGATTGTGCTGCTGTACTCCAGCTTGGGTGACAGAGTGAGACTCAAAAAACAAAAACAAGAAACTTCTCTCAGACACTGATCCACAGTTAGAGCTTGGTGAAGAAAACTGGGGTCCCTTCGGCCCTCACTGTCCTCCCCACGTTCCTCTCAGAAGTCAGCACTGTCACCCGATGGGAGTATCTCTTTGTAGACCCCTTTCTAGGTATTTGCAGCTGTCTAAACCTGTGTCCATAGAAAACAGAGCTGTTTCATGCTGAATCTTGATCTCCCAGCAGAAGTGCTGGATATCTTGATTTTAAGTTTCTGTGCCCCCCAGTTCTCAGCCAATGAAGAAACAACTAAACACGCCTTTGTTACTGAGCCCATGGGACCTCAGAGTAGAAGGGCCTGTAGAAATTAGGGCCAACTCCTCCTCTTTCCTGGAGGGAGAAACCGAGGCTCTGAGTGGGGCAGGGCTGTGCTCCAAGCCCCAAAGGCCAGGGGTAAGCCTGGGGTTCTAGCTTCTCAACCGCTCTCACGATCTTTCCTCTGTGCCATGGGGTGGGCTCATCCCTGCCGCCTCCCCAGGCTGGGGCACGGGGCTCTCCGGAGTCTCAGGCCCTCCCTCTCCTCCCCTGCAGGTACCTGTCCCACACTGAACTGGCCCCGCTGCGTGCCCCCCTCATCCCCATGGAGCACTGCACCACTCGCTTTTTTGAGACCTGTGACCTGGACCGTGACAAGTACATCGCCCTGGACGAGTGGGCCGGCTGCTTCGGCATCAAGGAGCGTGAGTGTCTGACGGAGGGGTGAGGGACGTGGCAGGAGCAAAGCTCCCGGGGTGCCGGGCTGTCGTCCCTACCCCCTGCTCTCTCTGTCTGTGTGTCTGTCTTCGGCCTGTCTCTGCTCTCTGGGTCTATGTGACCCCTGTCTGCTCCTCCTGTCTGGGTGGGTGCCGGCTGACTTCCCAGCCTTTCTCTGACCATCTGACCAGCTCTCCCTCTCCCTATTCGTGCACTAGTGCTCACTCGGTGCCAGACACTATTTTGGAATTGGCAGCACATGGAGAGGAAACAGGAAGCGCAACTGGGCAGTGTGCAGGGACAGGCCAGAGGCAGGGAGACCAAGGTTCCTGTGTTGGGATTTCCGGAGTGACCTTGGACAGTCATGGGGGCCCTGGCCCTGGGGATGGGTGGAGACGCACTGCCTCCTTGGGAAGGGAATCTTCACCGCCTCATTTAATATTTTTAAAACATTATTATTTCTTTTAATTTTTGAAAAGAGATGAGGTCTTGCCATGTTGCCCAGGCTGGCCTCAAACCCCTGGGCTCAGGCAATCCTCTTGCCTTGGTCTCCCAAAGTGCTGGGATGACAGGCGTGAGCCACTGCGCCCAGCCATATTTGTATTTGTATTGTTTATTGTGAACGCATTGCCTCCTTTTTAACCTGTTCTCTTTTCTTGCTTTGCAGAGGACATCGACAAGGATCTTGTGATCTAAATCTGCACCCTCCTCCCGCAGTACCAGATTCTCTTTGACCCTCCCCTTCCCGTTTCCCCCAAAGTTTAAGATGTTTGGATGGTTTGTTGTTCTGCCTGGGGACAAGGTGCTAACATAGATTTCAATGAATACATTAACGGTGCTAAAAATGGAAATTCTAACCCGAGACATGACACTCTTAGTTGTAACTTGACTCTCAAGACCTTTTGCTCACCCGTTTGCGGTCCCACTGTTCTCTAGTCTTCGCGGCATTTGGCCTTCTCTTCCCTGCATACAGGCGGAAACCGATCTGCTCAGACTGCTTTTAACACACTTGGCATCTTCAGACCTTTTCTCTATTATTCTGTTTGAAACTAACACTCGCCCAGTCAGACTTTGCATTAATTTTATTTAAGGGTATCGCGGCCCGTGGGTCCTTCCCCAGGTGGCCTGGAGGTGGGCACAGAAGAGTAACACACGATGTTGGCAAGGGTGTTTCTGGGACCAGAGCGTCAGGGGCGGGACAGACCCCTACGGAAGCCACCAGCCAAAGCCTGGTGTGCCCAAGGCTGAAACTGAGAGACGGATTCTGGGGCTGTGTTAGGAGAAGACTGAAATTCTTGCATGAGCCCTGCTCTGGCCATTTCTTCCTTCTCCTTGTTTGTGGCAGCTTCTTTTCACAGAAGGCTGTGTGATCAGACTTTTAGGAACGTGGCCTGTCAGTCCTCTGGAAGGTAGAGCAGTGACACCACACGGGACTTCTTCCTCCCCAGGTGTCTTGAAATTCAGGCCTCTTCTCAGGGCCTGGGAGGCGTTTCCACCAAAAAGGCCAAAATCCAGAGTGAGATGCAGAAAGTCGTAAGACAGAAAAAGCGGAGTTGGCAAATCGGTTGTTTCCCCCCTCCATTTGGTTGACTGTCATCAGGTTTCTAGCATGTTCTTGCTTTTCTTCCTTCCCCCCTTTTTCTTCTGTGAATCAAGAGAAACTTCCGAGTCCATGGGATGGTCGGATCTCACAGGCTGAGAACGCGTCACCTCCAAGCATTTCATGAAAAAGCTGCTTCTTATTAATCACACGAACTCTCACCATGATGGAAAGAGTTTGACAAATCTATCAAAATAAAAAGTAATGACTTAGAAATGGCCCTCTCGGGTGATTTGGCATGTGTCTTAGTGTTAGTCACCTTAATCCCTGGACACGCAGACACACGGGCACACATGTCTACACACAACTGCAAACCTTCACAAACACAATAGTATGCCTTTATATACACACAGGCTTATTTACATGCAGGGAATGCGTGGTTCCCATAAGCACTAATATAGCCGTTTTAATGTAATGACCTGGAATCTAATCCTTTTCATTATTGTACTCCATTGCCAGCATCAGACCAAGCAATTATGTCCTTTTGCTAATCATGCATTTGTTCATTCAGCCGTCCAATATTTATGATGTATCTACTTTATACCTGGTCCCAGGCCAAGCCCTGGGGACACACTTATGGCAGAGCAGACAAAGCATTTGTTCTTTTGGAGTTTATGGTCTAGCGAGGGATACAGTAAATCACCACACAACCAATGCCAATGACAAGATGTGACAGAGTATGAGAGACCTTGAGTGTATGTCACAGAAGGACACAGCATTATTTTACTGTTACTCTGTCCCATATGGTAGCCCTACCCACGTGTGACCATTTGGATTTAATTTTTAATTAATTAAAATTTAGGGCTGGGCACGGTGGCTCATGCCTGTAATACCAGTGCTTTGGGAGGCTGAAACAGGAGGATTGCTTCAAGCCAGAAGTTCGAGACCAGCATGGGCAATATAGAAAGACCTCGCCTCTACAAAAATTAAAATAAATTAGCTGGGTGTGGTGGCTCACACCTGCAGTTCCAGCTACTCAGAAGGCTGAGGTGGGAGGATTGCTTGAGTCCAGGAGGTTAAGGCTGCGGTGAGCTATGATCACGCCACTGCACTGTTTTATTTTATTTTATTTTTTTTTGAGTCAGAGTCACTCTGTTGCCCAGGCTGGAGTGCAGTAGCGTGCTCACGGCCACCGCAGCCTCAACCTGCTGGGTTCAGGGGATCCTTCCCGCTCAGCCTTCCAAGTAGCTGGAACCACAGGCGCGTGATGCTATGCCAGGTTTTTGGTTTTTGTTTTTATTTGTCGTAGAGACGAGGTCTCACTAAGTTGCCCAGGCTGATCTCAAATCCCTGAGCTCAGGCAATCCTCTTGCCTCGGCCTCCCAGAGTGCTGGCATTACAGGTTTGGGCCACCGCGGCTGGCCTGACCATATCTTAAAAAAAAAATTAAAATGCAGTTTCTCAGTCATACTAGCAACATCTCAAGTGCTTGAGAGTCATGCATGGCTAGTGGTCACCGCATTGAACAGGCAGATGTAGAACATTTTCACCATCACAGAAACTTCTGATGAACAGTGCTGTTCCGGGTCATCATAAGGCCACAGAGCATGTGTCAAAGCTCATGCCTGTTTGTCAGGCTACTGGGATGTTTCGGGCTGGAGTTCTGAGCCTCCCTCCCCCACTTAGAGGTAGAAAAACAGGCCCAAGAAATATGTTCAATTACAGTGGGCCACGTGGTGGTGCCTAGAGACTGTGTCCCTCCCTCTCTTGTTTTAAATTATTTTAAGATTACTAAAATAATACAAGCTCCTAAAAATAAATCCAGAACTGTGTTCCGGTGTTCTCTTCTACACAGTGGGAGGGAGGGGAGTAGGAGAGATCACCTGGTTTGGTCCTGGCCCTTTTGGGACTTCGAGCCCAGCACTAGTCTCATAAGCTCCAGGGATCTGCAGAGAGATGATTCAAACCAGATTCAGCATGGACTGAAACTCACCCGGCAGCATTTATCAGGGCCTGCAGCATGCTGGCTGCCGTCCAGTGGTCTCATGAGAAAGCCAGGTGATCCTTGCTCCCTGGGAGCCAACGACACAGAAGTTAACAATGCTGTTTTGGATGGAACATGGGCCCCAAAGAAAATAAAGCAGGAGATTTCACGGAAAATGATTCAGACCGTGTGCTCCCTTGGTCAGGCAGGAGACGTGAAGCTTGCCCTGCAGACCCAATCATGAAGTTTGCACTCTGGTCCCCTGGGCAGGTCGCCCATGGGATGCACAGCACCCACCCTCCCAGCAGCTCGGCCACCAGCTCACTGAGGCTCAGAGAGGTTGGGTGACTTGGTCAGTGAAAGAGAGGAGCGCCGGAACCCAGAGCTTTCTCTCATTTCTGAATGTCCCTCTACAGGGAGCTCCTCCGAGTTTTCTATTTTTTTTTTTTTTAGTTGGAGTCTCACTCTGTCGCCCAGACTGGAGTGCAGTGGTCGCTCCCCGCCACCGCAGCCTCGACTTGCTGGGCTCCGGCGATCCTTCTGCCTCAGCCTTCCGAGTAACCGGAATTACAGTCATGCGCTACCATGCCTGGCTGATTTTATTTTTTTTTTATTTATTGTAGAGATGAGGTCTTGCTGCCCAGGCGGGTCTCGAACCCGCGGGCTCAGGCAATCCACTCCCCTCAGCCTCCCAAAGGTGCGGGATTACAGGCTGAGCCACCGAGTCCGGCTCCTCTGAGTTTTCAAGGAAAAGACAGCATCAGAAAGACATGAAGCCCAAATTAGTCAGGGCCCTGGAGGTCAGGATAGGGCTGCGGGCCCCGTTGACCCTGCAACATAGACCAGCTAGCTGAATGAACGGGGCTAGAGTCCTTTAATCAGAGCTTCCGTACCCCCTTCGCCTGTCCTCCTCCTCCCCCTTAAATTAAATCACTTAGGCTGGGTGTGGTGGCTCACACCAGTAACCCTAGCACTTTGGGAGGCTGAGGTGAGAGGGCCGCTTGAGCCCAGAAACTTGAGACTGGCTTGGGCAACATAGTGAAATCTTGACTCTACAAAAAGTTTTAAAAATTGGCTGGGTGTGGTGACACCTGCCTGTAGTCCCAGCTACTTGGGAGGCTGAGCTGAAGGATTGCCTGAGCCCAGGAGGTCAAGGCCGCAGTGAACTGAGATTGTGCCATTGCATGCCAGCCTGGGTGACACAGCGAGTTTTTGACTCAAAAATACATAAATCAATAAATGAATATAAATTAAATCACTTAAAAAAACACAAAAATCTTAACATTAAAAAAATTATATTACTGCTTCAGGTGAAAAAAATTAGTATTACTTACTGTAGATTAATAGAAACCTTTCAGATAAATACAGCACAGACACATTGTAGAAATAATGTTATACTGTTATGAATGTGTCCCATGCTTGAAGAATCTTCTGTTTCTTGTTAAAAGAAGAAATCTTGGAGATGCTCTCCTTGATGATCAGAAGGTTCAAAGAATTCAATTACAGTTGATTCGAGGTTAATTAGTGTCAAACACGTAACTCTCCTGAAACCCTCTCCTGGGTGGCAGTGGTGGGCACGCCCCTTCAGGGAATTCCTCTGTAAGGAAGGAAGGTGTGGGTCCTTTGGAGATCATCCCAGCCTCTGTGTCATTTCCCAAAGGGGAGCCAGCCAGGCCCTTGGGGAGATGGGAGGCGCCCAGGTCCAAGGAAGCGGAGAATGGAGGTGTCCCCCGCCCCCGTTCCTACTGCAGAACCGGACTGAGCCTCAGGAATCCAACGACCCATACTCTGAGCTTTTTCCTCATCTGTAACATCCATTATTTTAGCTTTTTAAGAGACAGGCTCTTGCTCCGTCGCCCAGGTTGGATTGCAGTGGTGTGATCACGGCTCACGACAGCCTTGAAGTCCTGAGCCGGGGTGATCCTCCTGCCTCAGCCTCCAGCCACCACGCCCGGCCCTCATCTGTCAAACCCTGGTGATAATAGTTCCTAGGCATCAAGGAAGCCATCCCAACGTCGACGCAAAGGGCCTGTTTCCCCGCTGTCTAGACTGCTCCTTTCTCCCTGGTCTATTATTAGTCGTAAGGTTTCCTCCTTCGAGGCCACCTTCAAGGTTCCTGGGACTCAGGGGTGCTCTGTCCTGGGAGGCTGTGCCAGCTGGCTGGCGTCTGCGTTGGTTTTGGCTACAGGACTGCAAGGGTTAAACATGTCCAACTGGAAACAGAAAAGTAAGGGTACCCTAAGGAGGCGAAGGGGCCTGCAGGAAAGTAGCAATCTAGTGTCCAGGACAGCTGTGTGAGCTGGACAAGAGTCTGCCCTCCAGGGGTTCAGTGCCCTGTGATGGGAGAGGGGAGCTGGGTGAGCTGGTCCTCTCTTAGAGACTCTAAGCTCTCCCCTCCTGCCCTTCTGAATAGCTGCCCTAAGGATGGGCAAGCCTCCACCCCGCCAGGCCTTGCAACCTGGTTTCCGGGTGGCCCCCCAGAGCCAGCGGGACCAGGCGCCTCCCCACTGAGTCATGGCCGCTGAGGAGGGTCAGCGCGCCCCCTGGCGGGGATGGAGAGAAGCGCTCTCAGAGCTGTGGGCGCTCTACAGAGGCCGTCTAGCACAGATGGGGAAACTGAGGCTCCGAGGTTCAGAGAAGCGGACCCCTCAAGTAGGATTTCCAGATAAAACACAAGACTCCTGGTGATTTTTTTAAATCAGAGTCTCACTCTGTCGCCCAGCCCAGCAAGTAGCTGGAACTGCAGGCACTTGCCACCACGTCCAGCTAATTTTTTTATTTATTGTAGAGACGAGGTCTCGCCATGTTGCTTAGGCTGGTCTCAGGCAGTCCTCTCACCTCTGTCTCCCAAAGTGCTGGGATTAAGCGTGAGCCACCTTGCCCAGCTCCTAGTTAACTTTGAATTTCAAATAAATAATGAATAATTTTTTTTAGTATAAACATGTCTCATGCATACTTGTCCTAAAACATTGTTCATTGGGAGTCCGGAATTCAAATTTAACCAGGTGTCGTCCTCTTTTTTTGTTTCCTTGATCTGGCAACCTTACCACTAAGTCCACCCACCGAGTGAATGTCTGAGCTCGGACTGCACCCCACACGTGGGTTAGGGCTTCTTCCCCATCATGCCTGACCAATGTCTTGTTGCTGTTGAGTCAAGGTCTCACTCCCTTGCCCAGGCTGGCGTGCAGTGGCAGGATCACAGCTCACTCCAGCCTCCTGGGCTCTGGCCATCCTTGCGCTCAGCCTCCCAAATACCTGGGGAGCCATCAAGCCTGGTTAAGTTTTTGATTTTTTTT